GAAAATGACGTAGAAGAGGTTAAGAGACGCAAAGAAGAGCAAGAGGACAAGAACAAGAGAGAGAGACGCTTATGGCAAGCCGTTTTAACATTTAATCACTAAGTCTGACTATCAGGAATTACCATTATAGATATCTATAACATCATTTTGACTAGTAGTAATGTCATTGTGACTAGTATGAATTTTAATTTAAGATATCTGTAACGTCATTCTGACTAGTCAAAACTACAGTTACAGATATCTGTAATTCAGTTTTGACTAGTAAGATTCAAATTATTTTTGCCATTCATGTGTATGGGGTTTGTCATTATAGATATCTACAATTACATTATGACTATCTATAATTCCAGTTTGAGATATCTACAACGTCATTTTGACTAGTCATAATTCAGATGCAGATATCTACAACGTCATTTTGACTAGTGAAAATATCTATAACTATATATCTATAACGTCATTTTGACTAGTCATAATTCAGATGCAGATATCTACAACGTCATTCTGACTGTCTGAAACTCAATTCAAGATATCTAGAAAGGACCATGTAGATACCTTCAGTTGATGATAATTAAAGATATCTTGAACTTGAATTATGAAAAATAATTAAAATTAAAATTAAATTGTAGATATCTCAAACTGGAATTACAGATATCCACAATTCAGTTGCAGATATCCACAATAACAATTGTAGATATCCGCAACTACATTGGAGATATCTATAATGACAAACCCCATACACATGAATGGCAAAAATAGTTTGAATCTTACTAGTCAAAACTGAATTACAGATATCTGTAATTAGAATTTTGACTAGGCAAAATCTAATTAGGGATATCTTGAATAAGAGTTTTGACTAAGCAAAATTATGTTGCAGATATCAGTAATGAATATCCAGCCTATCGATTAAATGTTAAAACGGCTTGCCATAGACGCTTCTCGCTCACTTGTTCTTATCTGGCCAAAGTGGGCGGGTTTGTTAAGGCGGTCCCTTTTGTTGTAAATAGGCTTATCATTTTATTTTGGAGGAAAAGTAATGCTTTAGATTATACAAGATCATATACTTTAACATGTTACGCGCAATAGACACATACTCTTCCCATAATGGTCAAAATCGGTTCTTAACATCCAATTAAAATTAATACAATTATTATACCGCGTGTATCAGCAAAGTACATGTTTAAGCTGCTCCAAATACACACACTCTAGACTAACCTATAGTTGCAATATAAAATGAAAATACAAAATAAGGAAGCACATATTCATAAAAACAGGTTAATTAATAAAACCCAACTATATTTTAATTCTAAATATAATATGGAATTCCTTAGGGGAACTCTCCTTAACTCCGTCACAAGATGGCAGTATGGTTCCATGTCAAATGAGGGATTAAAAGAAAAGTGAATTTACAACTCATTAAAGAAAAATATCATTCAGCTACCAAACATGGATTATGCACATGTACAAGGTTAGGAAATGAAGATGAGAACAAAAAGGAAACAAATGTATAATTTCACTTCTAAGAGACACTGTTACAACAGAGACTTGGTTTCATGTTCAGGAATGCATATCTAATTTAGGACATTAACATTTGTTCAGTCTCCTCTTCACCCCATTGTGAATGAGCTGGTGGGATTTCCCGGAGTGGTGCGAGGGGACATCATGGGATGTACTTAGAAAGCATTGTCTTAAGATCCTAGCCGGGCGGTTAATCAAACCAAGTTGCCCCCAGGCTGGATCCCTTTTAAGAGTTAATGACATCAGGAGCCTTGAAGGATCTCAAGTGAACGTTTTACCCCATTTTGGCATTAGGACAGCTGAAAGAAGCGTTTGTCAAGACTGGGGGGGTAGATTCTGGGATTGAGTCCTAAACATTTGACCCTCCGGTGGGCATTTGTAGTCCAATCTGGAGAGTTTAGAATACTGGTGTCCCTACACTGAGCTCAGTGTGTAATTATGGGGTCCTTCAAATTTTATGAGACCACTCATTCATTTTGTAAATGAGAATGAGCAAAGCACCCCAGACATCCCTCTCCCCAGCAACGTTTTCCAGCTCCTCCTGGTGGACCCCAAGATATGTAATCCCCCCAGCGTGTTCTGGGTCTGCCCCGAGGCCTCTTACCAGTGGGATGTGCCCAGAACACCTCCAGCGGGAGGCACACAGGAGGCATCCTGATCAGATGCCCGAACCACCTCAACCGACCCCTTTCGACCCCTTTCATTCCAGAAGCAGTGCTGTGTGTGGAGGTTAGCCCAACTATATCTAGTCAGGACCGCTCCACCTCCCGCACCAGCTCCGGCTCCTTCCCCACCAGAGAGGTGACATTCCACGTTCCCAAAGCCAGTCCACAAAACCAGGGATCAGCACGCCAGGGGCCCCACCCCTGCCTGACGCTCGGCACACAATGTGCACACAATGCACTCGTGTGCCAAACGTCACAATGCACCCAACCCTGATGTCTATTCTTGTGGGTGGTGGGCCCTGTGGCCAATGACTTGTGACTCATTTGGACCCGCATGTTACCTCTTTGGGCTCTTTGGGCTAATACTTTGTCACCGCTAAAATGGAATATTTTACTGGTTCCTTTCTGTGTACTAGAACTCTGATTTAGTAGCTTTGGCTGAAGTCTCTCCAGAGCAATGGCCACTAAGACTCATGGGAAGTGTATTGTTTTGTGCCAATCAAATCAGTTCTAATTTACGTCACTACACTGTTGTGCTTTAGGAATTGGAATGTACTCTCTCTGTTTCTTCAGGCAGCCTTTGGTTTCAATCCAATCTGAACATCCACTAGCACTTGACCGGTGTGTATGTTTATGGTAATAAAGGAACTTACAATAATGGAGCACTATCGCACAGAGGAGGAAGATATATCAGGCTTTGATACACCAAATATTTGTTTATAGATAAAACCACAATTCCAAAAAAGTTGGGGTGCTGTGTAAAATGTAAATAAAAACAGAATGTAATGATTTGCAAATCTTTTTTGACCTATATTAAATTTAATACACTTCAGAGACAAGCTCATTAATGTCCACACTGATGAACTATTTTTTTATGAATATACTGTTGTTCCGAAAAAGTTGGGACAGGAGCATGTTTACCACTGTGTGACATCACCTTTTCATTTAACAACACTCAGTTAGTGTTTGGGAACTGAGAACACTAGCTGCTGAAGTTTTAAAAGTAAAATTCTTTTCCATTCTTGCTTGATATACAACTCCAGTTGCTCAACAGTGCAGGGTCTCTGTTATCATTATTTGTGCTTCACAATGTGCCACACATTTTCAATGGGAGACAAGTCTGGACTGCACAATGTGTCTCAATGTCTTGCTGGAATAAGCAGGGACATCCCTGAAAAAGACATTGTCTGCTATGGCAGCATATGTTGCTCCCATAACCCATATGTACCTTTCAGTATTCATGGTGCCTTCACAGATGTGCAAGCTTCCCATGATGCCATGGGCACTAACACACCCCCATACCATCACAGATCGTGCTTTGAACTTTGAGCTGGTAACAGTCTGGATGGTCCTTTACCTTTTTAGTCCGGGGGACATGACTTCCATGATGGACTCTTAAGACCACAGCACACTTTTGTCAGTCCATCTCAGATTACAGATTATTGTTTCTGGATGTTGTTGATAGATGGCTTTCACTTTGCATGGTAGAGTCTTAACTTGCATTTGTAGATGCAGAGATGAACTGATCCAAAGTGTTCCTGAGCCCATGAAGTAATATCTTTTATATAATCATGTTGCTTTTTAATGAAGTGCTGTCTGGGGATTCAAAGTTTGCAATTCAATGTTGGTTTTCAGCCTTGCCCTTAACATGCAAAGAGATTATCTCAATCTTTTGATGATATTATGGATTGTAGATCGTGAAATCCTAATTTCTTTGCAGTTGTGCTTTGAGAAACATTCTTTAACTGTTGCACTGTTTGCTCACACAGTTTTTCACAAAGTGACCATCCTTGCTTGTGGACAACTGAGCCTTTCGAGGATGCCCCTTTATATCTGAAAATAATACTTTGATCTGTTACCAGTGAACCTGTTTACGTGTGGAATGTTCCAAACAGGTCTTTTTTGAGCATTCCACAACTTCCCCTGTCTTTTGTTGCTCCTGTCCCATCTATTTTGTAACATGTTGCAGACATCAAACTCAGAATGACTGTATATTTTTCAAAAAACTATAAAGTTTATCATTTTGAACATTAAGTATCTTGTCTTTGCATTGTATTCAATTGAATGAAGGTAAAAAAAAAATTGCAAATCATTGCATTCTGTTTTTATTTACATTTTAAGGCCCTGACACACCAAGCCGACGGTCGGCCGTCGACCAAAGTCGGGCCGTCGGTGAGCGTCTGTCTGCCTAGTTTTTGCAGTGTGTCCTGCACCGTTGGCACTTTGGCGTCAGCGGCTTTTCGGCTGATTGAGCATGTTGAATTGGCGGCAGAGCTTGTCGGTGAAAGAGATCACTCTGATTGGCTGTTCAGGTTTTATTTCCTCGCCCCTGTAGCGAGTGAATCTGCCTGTAGTGAAACCGGGGCTAACCGGTGCTTCCTCCTCAGGCTCCACTTCACTCAGCTGCCCCACAGACCCGCTGCTTCTTCACACTTTAACCTGAATAACAAACCGGAGCTAGCTGGGAGCGGCTAGTGGAGCGTTAGCCGCAGCATGACCGGAGGGAAGCACAGCCAGTTAGCCTCCGCTAGTCTCTGAGCTAGCCCCGGCTCTCCGTTTGGATCCAACCGGAGCACCGAGCCCTGGTTTGTTATTCAGGTTAAAGTGGGAAGAAGCAGCGGGTTTATCGGGCAGCTGAGTGAAGTGGAGCCTGCGGAGGAAACACCGGGACCGTCTGGATGTGATAGTCCGTGGAGGTGCTGCGGTGCTCGGCTGCACAGATAGGAAACCCCTCGGCTGATAGGATGTACCACTCTCTCACTCCGCTCTCTCTCACGCAGGCGCAGAACGTACGTGCTACTTGGCCGTCGGATGTAGTCCGTGTAGTGTGTTCAAATGCAACTGTAACCGTAACGTGCTACAATAAACTGTTCAACGGAGCTGTTAGACGACCAAAAGCCAAAATGACTGACAGGAAGGCAGTGATAAAGAATGCAGACATGTCTGAAGAGATGCAGCAGGATGCTGTGGACTGTGCCATGCAGGCTATGGATAAGTACAACACTGAGAAGGATATCGCCGCCTTTGTCAAAAAGGAGTTTGACAAGAAGTACAACCCCACATGGCACTGCATAGTCGGGAGGAACTTTGGCAGCTATGTGACACATGAGACGAAGTATTTCATCTACTTCTACCTGGGCCAAGTGGCCATTCTACTCTTCAAGTCGGGCTGAAATCCAAACATGCCCTCCCAAAACTACTTTAAATTCAGCCTACAATATTTCTGTGCCATGCTGTACATTGGCTACCACCTTTATGCAGACATGCCTACCTCCTGGTTTCCAGCTTGCATCAGTCTGTTATAGTTTGCCACCTACAACACTACAACCATCGCTGAATGGCGCTTTAGTCATGCCTGGACTGGTGATGTGCCATTTGTAGAAAATGCCAATTTCAAACTACTCTCCATTCCAGCACTCAGTCAGCATTTTCACATCTGACAGACTCACCATGATGCATAGTTTCTGCGTATTGTTTTTGCTGTGCGTTGATGCACAGGCCTTGTACATTGTTTCATATCAATATGTTTTTTGTTTTGTACGACATCTATTGCACGTCTGTCCGTCCTGGAAGAGGGATCCCTCCTCAGTTGCTCTTCCTGAGGTTTCTACCGTTTTTTTTTCCCCGTTAAAGGTTTTTTTGGGGAGTTTTTCCTGATCAGCTGTGAGGGTCATAAGAACAGAGGGATGTCGTATGCTGTAAAGCCCTGTGAGGCAAATTGTGATTTGTGATATTGGGCTTTATAAATAAAATTGACTGATTGATTGAATTGAACTGACACAAGGCGACGTGAGGCAACGTAGACGACCCAACAGTTAGCTTTTCTCGCCGCTAGTTCTTTGATGTCGGTTTGGTGTGTCAGCACCTTTACACAGCATCCCAACTTTTTGGAATTAAGGTTGTACATTTACTGTTGGTTTTGCACTGCACAAGATTTTTTTTGACAGTGAGAAAAATATAAATATCACCAGACTTACCCTGTAAATAATACTGTATAGTCAGAGGTCATGTCATAATCTTACAGTTAACAGTGCTTCAGTTATCCAGGAGAGCCCAATGTGTCTGTGTTGAGAACATTGTTATTTTAAGAAAAAGAAAACTTTAAATGAGGAACTTGGTGGAAGAAATACCTCTGGAGCCAGAGGCTCTGCAAACTTTCTGTTTGCTTCATACTTACTGTCAGTATTTTAACATTAGACCTTTTCTTTGTCATGATGTAAAGGATGAAACCTTGTAATCATACAGCTTTACTTTTACATGTCTGTCAAATCTGTATCTGTGTCTGTGATCTTGTTTCAGGCTGTTCTGAACCAGAAGTTCACTGACTGCTTTGTTTTGGTCTTTCTGGATGCCCAAGCTGGAAAAACAGTGAGCTCATATACTGATATGATTCATATTATTCTCATACCATAGTTGTGCAAACATCTCAGCAATGTTTCTTCTCCATTTTTGTCCTACAGAGCCTTAAGGTTGTGTTTCGGGAGCCACTGCCATCGCAGCAACAGGCAAGCAACAGCCCTCCTCCCCAGCTGGTGTCCATGTATCATCACCTGGAGTCTGTCATCAACACTGCCTGCTATAACCTCTGGACAGGACTGTTATAGAGCAGATTATTGGATTTACCTCAACTCATGTCCATGTGATCATCGACATATGGATATAGGAAAGTACCATTAGAAGACAACAGAGGACAAGATTTAAATGAGTCCATTTGGGGAAAATCCTCTTGACATTATGCTCTCCCAGCAGCTACAGATCACTTCTACCTTGCTCCATGGGGCATCATACTGGACAGTGATGTTTTGGTGTTCATGCATTTCTCTGTTAGTGCACAGGAAGCACTCAGATCTAAATGGATCTGACAGAAACCAAAACACACCCAAACCTGTTGAGAAGTCTAAATAAAAATAAAATCGCTCCAGCCTGATTTGCCTCACAGTGGATAAACTCTCTACAGCGGTGAGCTGTGTGTACATTTATCAAAAAGCAAGCAGATCACAAGTGTTGGAGCAGTTTGCTTCACTCCAATACTGTGTCAGATTTCTTTGTGCACATAGGGAGTGCAAATAATGTGTAAAACTGTCCATGGTGGAGTTTATTGAGCCAAGCTTACTGTAGTGTATGAGCTGGTTTGCCACAGTGTATTATAGCAGTGGCACAGAACCTCACCTAAATTAAAGAACACTTCTGCTAACATCAGAAGAGAAATGGATTCACACTTGCATAATATAGAGACTCAAGATAAATTAGCAGAGCTGCACCATAAGCTGGGTAGACACAGTGTTTTTATTAATCTTGCACATTGGGTTAACTCACAAATGAGCTCCGAATTATGTCATTGCAATCACGTTCGGCTGTTAAAGATGAATATTTAACTTTTTTTTTTTTTTAACCATATAAATTTTTACTTTGAAAGGGTTCAGCAGGATGTTCAGTGTGACAGTGGCATTTACATAATATAGTAAACAAGCTAAAATTGCTAACAAAGCTTTGGAAATATGCTACAATAACATCGCCAGAAACTATTAATAAGTATGTGAGCTGTAAATTAACCACTTCCAAGCAGAAAAGAGAAGATTATCTCTGCCCGCTGCATCACATCCACAGCTGACTGTGCCACAGTGTTGCGTGAAAGTCAAGAGCGCTTACTCTACAGCAAAATCTGGGGACCAAACTGTCCTCAGGGGCACACTGTACAACACACTGATTAGCAAAAAAAAAAAAAAAAACCCCACTGCTGCTTGACTCCACCCACCCACCACCTCTGCTAACCAACCAACCAGGCAAAAGCTAGTTCGGATTTTTTGAGGTGGGGTCGGAGTTGGGCTGGAGTCCGACATGGAATTTCAGCCACTTAAACTGGTATTGATTTGTTTTTTGTTTTTTTTAAGTGTATGCTATACTGAGAATATTGTCACTGCTTTATCATTTCATCAGACAGCCTGTCCTGATGGGAAAGCTATTAATGGCTTCAGTTTCCCACCCATGCACTCATCAAAGCCACCAGACTCCATTGACAAAAACAGTAATTTTAGCTCGCTGAACACAAAAAAAAAAACTGTACCGTACACCTTTCATACTTACCAGCTTCATTCATAGGTCTGTATTATCATGGATCTTGTGCCTTCTGATAGCATTTTGCTCACTCTTCATACCACAACAGTGTTTTTATGAGAGAGAGACAGCTGAGATGTCAGTGTGCAGAGTGGGATGGCTTTTATGTTAGATTTTCAGTAGTGTCAAACCTGTTACCCACTTGAACACCACTGCCATATTTGGTAGCCTGAAGTGCCTTTCTCTGTTTTTTTGTTTGTTTGTTTTATTCCCAGACCTACCACATGACACTGATGTTGATCCATCAGCTCTGTATAGCAGATATTTTGAAATACACTCCTCATGTTACGCAGTGAACATGCCCAAAACAGTTTGGAGACATTTGACAGAAATTTCCTTTCATACGGAAGAAAATGGTCATATCAAATGTGATGATTTGCATAATAGCATGCCACATGTCATCAGAGCCAAGTGTTTCCAAAGCATGTTCAAGGTGATGAGTGCCACTGGTAATCACACTGAAATTTAAAAGAGGGCATGAAGTCAGCCTGATAAAAGTGTGACATCACTACACACATAAAGGCTTGATATCCACTGTAATACCTTCATTAATGACCTGCTGAGCAGCCTTAGATTTCTAGACATTTTACTGGAAGGAAACCACATGTTTAAGCTAATTTGTGGATGTAAAACGAAAAAATGTGGCGCGAAGCTGGGTTGTCACTGCCCAGAGAACTCAGTCTGAATGTGAAAAACTGGATACTCAAAATGCAAAATGTGAAGTTAGCCTTTAACATTCTGACTGTAATATAAACCCTGCACTGTCTCTAACTGTATAATCTATAATATGTATGTACAGAATACTTAATACAGTGTGTGAAATGCTAAATAAAGCAGTAGGATGAACTCTGTTTTTAATCGTTCATACATTAACAGTATATGATATGTAGCAGGGGTGCAAACACGGCGATTCTCACTTTTTTTGACGGGAGCTTGAATGACTTGTGTCATTCCCATAGATCCCAGGAGTTTTCTTTTTTTTTGGTCACGCTACATGATGGAACTGCATTGAGGAAGAGGAGGATAAAAATAAAACAGCTGTCGCAGGTAAAGCAACTCTAGTCGCAGGATGAGTGTCACTGCTCGCCTGCCTTTCTCTCTCCCGCGGTCCGTCACTCCACTGTCTCCGCTCTGATACTCGCTCTCCCCCGGTCGGCCTGTACTACGATGCACGTTTTAACATAGCCAGGCTTTCTTTAACAGCGCCCATCCAGGATAACCAGCACTACAAAGCTGATTATCAACTCGCTCTGTCATCTGTGTTTTCCAGCAATGAGCGCGTTCATGTGAACGAGGCGGAGTTGTTAATTAGGAGCGACATCATCATCATGAACTCATCCTCATGAGATGAAATTGTAGCCTATCTGTAAAAAACTTCTGTTTCAGTGACAGCAAAACAGTTAATTTCAACTAAGTAACAACTGTGAACTGTAATAATAGGCTCCAACAGAATAAAATAAGACAGATAAAAAATCCTTGTCAATAATTTTTGCGAACATCAGCTTGACTGATTTAACAGATGTAGAGACTAGAAATAATTTACAAATATTAAAAGTAGGCTAAGGAACATTTAAGAATTATGAGTATTTTTCGCTATTTAGTTTGATGACAGGATGAAATCATTCTTAATATCACATACTGTAATAGAACTTTAAAATAATTCCAGACTGTTTCTGCTACCGAACCAAAGAGTGTAAAAGTAGTTAATGACTGATGAGGTCTATCTGATCGAAATGTTACATTTATAATCACGGGAGCTAATTAACAATGTGGGTTATTTCTTTAGTTTTTATTTCCAGTTATCAGGTGTCTCAAGTTATTCTGAGCTGCAGAGTGTAAAATCATCCACACTGTCAGCTGTCACTGTGAGGATAAAATAAAGTTTACACCATTAAAATGCAGCTAAAATCATCATTAGGATATGTGTTTAGTGTGGTTATAAAGCATCTCTCTGTTTGTTAGACACTGTTTTAAAACCAGAGTGGAAATAGAAAACTTGGAACAATAAAATATTAATACTGACCGATTAACATATAGCCTATATAGCTTTTTTTTTCTTTTTAACACTGTCACTTTGTTAAGCAAACTGGGGACTTTTGCTCATGACATTCTCTGGCCTTTTTAGCTTGGTTAATGCATATTTTAGATATTTAGCTTACTGTGGCCAAAATTGTTTACAGAAACAAGAAGTTCTTCATATATCTAGCCTCCTAAATTTGCTCTCGAAGTGCACCAGATTGATGTATTTAACTTTAAAATAGTCAAACATGCCCCCGGACCCCCCTAGAAGTTCAGAGGCTCTCTCTTTTTTCACCATACCTCTGTTTGCATCACTGATGAATCCATCTTAAGGAATGTCTTTGCTTCTAATTAGAGGGAAAAATAACTGACTCTCCAATAACTGGCTGATGTTGAATAATGGCCAGAAAAGTGTTTAATACAGAATACTATGGTGTCACAGTATGGTCAGTTCATCCTTGAGTCCAAGTAGATGTTTGTGCCAAATTTGAAGAAATTCCCTCCAGGTGGTGGAAGAAGGACAAACCACATGTTTCCTTGGGCTTGTTAAGGGACAGTTTGGCTGCTTATCAGAGAGCTCTGAAGGAGGCAAAGTCTAAATATCTGTCCTCTATCATAGCTAACAGCTCTCATCATCCAAGGGTGTTATTTAATACTATAGACTCTGTCATTAACCCACGCCCCACTGTCCTGTCTGATGCTTCCACGGCAACCTGTGAAGAGTTTGTTTCTTTTTTTACTGACAAAGTGGCATCTGTCAGGCAGAATATTAGTAAAATATCTATCCCTCCTGGTGATGTGTGTGCTCCTCCTTCACTGTCTACCGTTTTCGAGTGGTTTGAGACAATTTCTCGTTTTTCACTAAGGTGGTTAATGGCGTGAAACCTACTAACTGTCCCTTAGATATCATTCCTGCCAAATTTCATTCATTCTGTTGGGTCAAGTCTCCTTGTTTTTATTAACTCCTGTCTTAGTTCAGGGTCTGTCCCAGCTGCATTCAAACATGCTGTGGTTAGGCCCCTCCTAAAAAAACAAAACATCTTGACCCCTCTGTGCTGTCCAATTTTAGACCTGTCTCCCATTGACCTTTTCTAAGGTCTTAAAAAAAGTTGTTTTCATACAATTACAGTTATTTTTAGAGATAAATTCTGTTCTTGATCAATTTCAGTCTGGTTTTAGAGCCCGACAATGCACTGAGTCAGCACTGTTCAAGGTGCACAATGATATTGCCTTGTCTGTGGATGCTGGGAACCCTGGTACTGCTGGACCTCACAGCGTCCTTTGATACAGTCAACCATGCAGTCCTTGTATCTTGCCTAGAGCAGTATGTAGGCATCTGCAGCACCGCTCTTCAATGGTTTAGGTCGTACCTGGCAAATAGGAGCTTCTCTGTGATGATTGGTGACCTCCACTCATCACATGCATCTCTCCCTTGTGGGGTGCCACAGGGATCTATTCTTGGCTCTATCCTCTTTTCATTGTATTTGCTATCTCTGGAATCAATAATAACAAAACACAATCTGTCTTTCCATTTTTATGCAGATGATTTACAGATTTATTTGCCCATGAAACCCAATGAAAGTACTGCATTTAATAAGTTACTGGACTGTATTAGTGACGTAAAGCAGTGGCTGGCATGAAACTTTCTGCACCTCAACGACAGCAAAACTGAATGTATTTTGTTTGGCACTTCACCTATGTCGAATGTTATTGCAACAAACTGTAGCACTCTAGCCCCCTTTTCTTGGGGTAACATTTAACAATTGTTTGAAATTCGATAAACAGATTAGTTCTGTTGTTAGAACAAGCTTTTTCCAGTGCCATCTCTTGGCCACAGTGAAGCCTTTTCTCAGTCGGCAGGACCTTGAGAAGGCAATTCATGCATTCATCAGTTCACGATTAGATTACTGTAATGCCCTTTATGTCGGCCTCAGCCAGTCTTCTCTTTCACGTTATAAAGGCAGTTATATTGGACAATCTTGCTGCCTTCTGGGCTTCAGGTATACAGACAGTAAAAATGTACCAATTGAATGTTAGTTGGGGATAGTATAAGTGAAAGAAATAAATGACTAATAGAATCACTGGTCATTTAATCATGGCATTTAGATTGGAATTTGTCATTTAAACACTGAAATATTCAGTATGACAGGTCCCTACATCACAGCACAAACTTGGATTTAAATTGCATGGGTGTGATTGGCCACTGGAATCTGTTCAAAGGAAAAAGAATAAAAAAAATTACTCTGCGTAACTTCAGCAGAAGTTGTAATGTAGTATTGCATGGTACAACAAGCCTGGCTTTAAAGGGAAAGTTGCGTTTTTACAACCTGGACCTTATTTCTGGTATTAAATCAGGGGCGCAGATGGGATTTTTGAACTGGGGGGGACCAAGCTGTCAGCAAATGATTCCAACTCAATTAGTTATTTTGTGTAAATACATACATACATACATACATACATATATATACACATTATATATATATATATACACATA